GAGAATCCACATCGGATGCATTTTTTACCTCTCGAGCGTTTTTTTATTCACATCGGACACATCTGTCCCATTACATTTACGTATAATGAATCACGTGATCAAAGATTTTTTACATCTCAGATGCATCCGATGTGGATTCTCAAACGCAGCAAAAATAGCGACTTTAGGCGAACAAAAATAGCGACAATGTCAGATGTCGGTGCGGCAACACTGCATGACGTCAAACTGCTGTTTTGATTTTTGATTTGATACGAAAACGAAAGGACATGTGTGTTTATTTTATTGTTATTCCAGTTATAAGTAATAAGTATACGTAAAAAATAATTAAGAACGACCTAAAACGTTTTGAAATCAAATTTAGTTGTATGAGAGAAAATAAGGAATAATTTAGGTATGTTGTATAAATTTTATAAAGATTCTAAGATAATTACGTCATCTTAAAACTTAGGTTAAGTTATTGTAAATATTTTTTTCTATACTTTTTTTTTTTTTAAATACTAATGTCCTTCGCTTACTTCAGGCAAAAGATTATTACCTCCAATTATTACTTGTTAACGTGTTCATGTTATGAAACATTGTATTAAAAAATTATAATTTAAAATCTTTTAAGTTAAAAAACTTGTTGGCTAAAATATACTTTATTAGTAGTGTAAAGTGGAAGAAAATTTTTTTTGACTTCTATTTAACTTCTATTAAAAGTACCCAACACTTTATCTGTGATTTATCTATAAGAGAAGATAATTTTTTTAATTTTATTGTTTTTAATGTTTACCTTTTATATTATAAAAATGTTCTTGCAATACAATTGTGTTAAAAGAAAAATAAAAGTGGAAATACATAAAAAAACAAAGTGACAGAATGAATAGAATGTTGCAAACCTAAAACTATTATAAAAATGTAACCTTCCCTTTTGTTCTTTGATGTAGGTTTAAAAATCTGCAATTGCTCTTGAATAGATTTGTAAATTGGATAATATATAAATTATTATAACCTTGACATTAAATGCAGTAATTGAGAAAGAAGTTATTATGCTTACATAGGTATCTTGAATATAAAGAGAATAATAATAAAGGTAGGAAATAAATTAAAAGTATTTATTAATAATTATTTATTTGTTTAATGAGTATTAGCAGTGCTTCATCATAATATTTATTTAGTAGCTAGTATTCAAAATAATATAAATGAATGTATTATTCAAAAATCACTGTTATACTAGAATATAGTAATATATGGCTGAAGAAATATATCTTATCCACACTGTGCTCCTATTTTTTTATTACTAACTAATAAGTGACTAAATTGGATGCTAAATGCAAAACTTTGATATCCAAGAAATTCTTTGGCATTAGAACTTTTTCTATTGGGTTACTCTAAATTTATAACTTCCAATTCAAATCTAACTTAATATTCTATGGTGGGAGCAATTCAATTAAAAGGGTTTTTTTAGTGCAAAAAAGAATAATGCGGATTATGCTCAGTTTTGAATATAAGAGAGTCATATAGAGGTTTATTTTCAAATTTTGAACCAACAAATGCTTATATATTGAGATATATAAATCTAGTATATCCAATACATAGGCTGACAGCTACAGAACATGGAGCAGGGTACAGCTGTGTAAAGTTGTACAATAAACTGCCTGATGCAATAAAAAGATTAGCAAATGTTAAAGTATTTAAAAGGGAAGTACATGAATTGTTAATTAATTTAAAACCATATACAATTAATGAATATTACTCTATGTGATCATTAATATATTTTCCTTGACAATGTTTTATTTAAGAATTGTCTTACTTATATGTATTATGATTGTTCCTCAAAATAAAGATTATTATTATTATTATAAATCATCAATGTAAAATAGATCATATTGTATTCTATATGTTCTATTTTTTATTTAATTCTCTGAAATATTTGTCCTGCTTTTTGTTAGAGTTTATTTTGTGGAATAGGCGTGTATCATTGAGCTACTGGACAAAGTCCAAAATAAAAAAGAATAAGTTGACTTCACTTAAGTAAGAAAGGAGGAGTGATAAATTAACTTTCTGCTAGAATAATTTTTGTGTGCCAAACAAAGTTGTTTATGGATTAAATGCGATTTATACAAATTGTGGTTATTTTTCTTGGATTTATCGATCATTTAAAAGTAGACGTAACCTATTTAAATCTTCATGTAAATGTTGACAGTTCAGTCATAGTCATACATGTCCAAATTTAAAATAAGTTTCAGCATATCGGTCGAAACAAGACAGCCAATCATAATTTGACAGCTTTATTTATTTGTGTATGTATTGTATTGTTTTTTACTCTACTCCATTTAAAAAAGTCATACATGACTACATGATAGTACATTTTTTATAATACATTTCATACAATTAAAAATTAAATTAACATAATAATAAAATTAAAGTTAAAGCACCTAGGTGCAAGCATCTTTTATGTGCTAAAGTAAAGTAATAGCATAGTAATATACTAATTTATACTTATAGTATACATACATAGTTTTAAAATATCAGTAATAAAAATACAAAATTATCTAGAGTACATCTCTATATGCACCAATATTAGAATTGATATGCTGTTTTGATTTCTTCTAAAATAATTTTAAATTTTTTATGTTCCTCACATTGACAGGTAAGGTGTTAAAGATTTTGGGAGCAACATAAGTTACAAATCTTTGACTTGCATCTCGCTGAATTGCTGGAGTTCCCAGATTCTCATTTAATCTGGATCTATTTCATAGTTTTTAGGTAATTTATTCTCAATTTCATTTTTAATTTTACAGTTTCACTTTTTGATTGACATTTTATTATAACTGCACCTTTATTTTTTTTTAATGTTTGATACTCTGTAAAGCCTTGGTTTCTTTGAACACTTCGTCGCGGTGAGCGGACAGTCGTCAACCGTCGCGTTTTGACGATTTTATCCAACCAGAGTATTTAAATGGGAATGGTTTTCTTGAATCCGCTTAGGTGAACAGGACGGCGTCATGCCGCTGATTTGTCGCGAAAAGTCAGTTGATATCTGTTGAGTTTGATATCAGTGGAATCGTCGGCGTGTGCGGAGACTATATTGTTATTAATTTTAAAACAATGAGTGACAAATTCACACATACAGATGACATCATGACTTTATTTTTAGGTTTCTTGGAAATTATGTCCTTTATAAAACTCAACACGAATTCAAAAAGATCTGTAGAAAGTCTAAAATACTCCCTAAATTTGGTTTCATTTCCAAAAAGCCTCCGCTGCACAGTGATATTAAAGGCATCTTCTGTATCGCGACAGAAAAACAACTCATTCACTGGCTTATTGGAAACTTTGACGGTTGCAATTACCAGTTCCTCTTGTTCTTCCTCTTCCAACAATAATAACGCAAACAATTTATTTGCAACCATTTTAGTACCTTTCGTTTACATTCATAATACATAAACAGCACGTACAGACATAGAGAAAGTATCATTTTCTATATTTTTTAACAAACCACCTCCGGCGAAAATTGCTGTCCTCAGCGGTCGACGGACTATCCGCTCACCGCGACGGAGTGTTCAAAGAAACCAAGGCTTTTGGGTTCTGCGTGATTACAGACGGTGATTTGTGGGATTTGGCGGGATGTAGGCGGCAGCCAGGTATTGTGAAGGAAAACGGCACTGAATTGCACTAACTGTGAATTTAATAAGCAATACCGTTGCACAATATTACTAACTGAATGACTAACTTAAAAGAACAAAACAATTTGAGGAAACAATGATAAATTAACTTTGGGAAAAAAATGTCAGTTAACTTCTGTCATTCACACCATGACAGTTGTGTCGATTCTCTCTCTCTCTCTCTCTCTCTCTCTCTCTCTCTCTCCCCCTAGTTTTCGGTTTTTCCAGTGGGTGGCGCATCTGTACAACACTACTCAGGGACGGCTCCTAATTTTAGATCGACGGGAATAATTTTTGAGTTTAATTATTTTATAGTTTTATCGGACGACTGGTCATTTTTCGGTCTTTAGGATAGTTTTCTACAGTTTTCACATTTTCTTTTTTTGTAATATTAGCATATGTATTTACCTGGTTTTTTTCTAGGTTAGCGATTTTTTCATTTAATAACTTAATTATAATTTCCTGATCTTCAATCATCTTTGTTTTATCCTGTATGATATTTTCCAATAATTTTGCATGCTCAAATTTTTTGCAGCTGTTACAATGGAATTTCAGGTTGCGTTTCTGCAGGGGCATCGTACTTCAGAGGAGCTTAATTCGCTGCATTCAATGCAATATAATTATTTTGCAGATGTCACAAGCAAAGCATGGGATTTTTATGTCTTTTGTGGGCTGATGTATTCTCTTGCATGAAAAACAGTCCATTTTTTCTAATTATTACATACTGTTTTTCAACCACCTTATTAACAACACTCCACTGGTATTTACTATTTATTCCTTAATAATCGTATCAGTATTTAAAAAAAAAACAGTTTATTTTGGCAAGATAATTAAATTTATGGCAATATAATCGGCTAAAATACGTAATTTTTCTGTATTTCACTTATTTATTTCCAAAACTGTTTACATCCATTTATGAAGCAGATTGTTACACATCTTTGGACATAAAACTAATCACTTTTCTCAATGTAAGAGGAGCAATAGGATGTACGTCTATACTAGATCAAAGTTAAACTGATGTATCCGTTTATTTATTTTTTTAGATTTTTGCTTAATAATTGTTTTTAATTAAGAGTAATATTATTATCATCTTATCCTCTACAACATCTCATAATTTGGATAATTTTTATTTTAAGGTCCTACAAGTAATATGTTTTTCGTGTTTTTATCAAATCTACTTCATGTGGACAAGTGAAATATATATTATTTGAACTGTTATTTATTATATGACGATTGTAACTTCATTTTCCCTTTGAAAAAAAAATGTAGGTAATCTGAAAAAAATTTTAGTTTTATTTTTATTTTAGATTTCCTAAAACATAAAACATGCAAGAAAATATTACTTAGTAGTAAATGATTCCTCGTGGAGAGGAGCCCCATAACAGGGGCAAAAAAGGAAAATCAACACTCCAAGAAAAAGTAGGAGGATTTTATTACACATTAGGGCTGTTTTGTATTACTTATCCTATTTGTGTGCTATGTTTTGCCATTTTCATTATTATTGTTTCGTGGTAAGTTTTAATTTTGAATAAAAACAGGTAATTTTTAATATCAATCCTATTTTAGGTTGCCTCTGGTTAATGTATCATTCCCAGGAAAAGCTCCTCAAGTATGGACGGCAAATTTTAACACAATTGATCGCACCCAACCTTTCTGTTATGTTCAGCAAATAGTTTTAAGGATAGCTGTTTTACCATGGAAAGCTGATTTAGCTCTTGGAGACGCTTTTAGAGCTCCTCTTTATGAAGCTTTTAAATTATTAGATGTTGTGCGAAATTACCAAGATGAAAAAACGTAATTTATTTTAATGTTTTATCTTTATCATGTAACATGTGTATATTTTTTTAGTTTAAAAACTTTGGGTCATCTGTGTCTTCATATTGAAGCTATTAAAAAAGCTAAAGATGATAAATCGGAAGTTTTACCACAATATAATTGTCTCTTACTATCACCAGCAAATCTTTGGAACCAGGATGTACAACAGTTTTCGCAAGACAATGGAATTCTCAGTACCATATATAGTCACCATGTAGGTCAAAATGCTTTTCTTTTAATCGAGGCACTATCTATCTAACATAAATTTTTATTTCTTTAGAGTTTTCAAAAAGGAAAAACTTCGATATCAGACATGGTTTTTGGAATGCATCTATTGGATACAGGCATCAAGCGTTACCCTTTAAGAAATCGACCTCGAATAATCCAATATGCAGTAACGATATTTTTTAAACAGCATGATGTACAGTAAGTGAGGTTTCATTTTTATTTACCAGTATAGCATATTATTGTAACTATAGTCTAATTTATTTATAGTTCATTTATTTAAACACACTATTTACAATTTATTTTAGACGTACTAATTAATTTATATAATACTTAGACACTAACTAAAAATTCTAATTTATTTATTACACTTTAACTTTTCATTACAATGTTCTATATTAAACTGTCTATAATCAACTGACTTCCGTCTTCACACTCGCGATATTTATATCAAGCCAACTATGTAACCAGAATACTCTAGACGGTCCCGAAAATTCTATCTCTGACTCAACGGCACTCTTCGTCAGTTCTAGCCGTTTCTAGTGAATGTTTCGTCGCCTCGAGCATGAGTCAGATGCCAGCTGAATGTCACGCTTGCTTTAGACACAGGGTCGGATTTAGGAATTTCATGACATTATTAATGTGTGTATTTTAGATATTGAATTTAAATTACATTACTAAATTGAAAACAAATTAATAAAGATGGATATATTAGAATATTTCTTTTGCAGGTTTCTCGAAGGTTTGAGGGAAAAATTAATAACAATATATCCTTTGTATCAAGAAAATAACCGGATTCTCGAGACTGAACTAAATAACACCGTTCTAATAGAATATCCTGGCGAAATTAACTATATCGAAGCAGTTCCTCTTTTTGTAGCTTTTATTTTATTATTTCTTTATTACTATTTTTCAGTTCGAAAAATCGAAATTATCAAATCAAAACTTGGCATGGCATTCACTGCCACTCTCACAATTTTTTGCAATTTAACGATGACCATGGGGATATGTTTCTTTTTCGGTTTGACTCTTAATTCTGAAGGCGGTAAGGGTATTATTCCCTACTTGACACTTCTAGTTGGATTAGAAAATGTTTTAGTACTTACCAAAAGTGTGGTAGCAACACCACTGCATCTCGACGTCAAAATTAGAAACGCCCAGGGTTTGAGTAACGAAGGCTGGTCAATAACCAAAAATTTATTATTAGAAATTACAGTTTTAACTTTCGGTTTATTTACTTTCATCCCCGAAATACAAGAATTTTGTATTTTCTCTATAGTAGCTTTAATTACTGATTATTTTCTACAAATGTTCTTTTTTTTAACGATCCTTGGTTTGGATATGAATCGTATGACTCTGACCATAGAAAAAATGAGTCAGAAACTCAGAAATAATCTTTACCAGCAACAAAGTTTCTTTGACAAACCTTTTACGGGCGTTAAAGGGCTCGTAAGATCTAAATCACATCCGAGATTGACTTCTTTTCCCGCTAATATTATAGCAGCTCAAAAACAAGATCCACAGGAGAAAATTCCGAAGAGAGTAAAGTTGGTCAATATTTGGGCACGAACTAGAATATTTCAAAGATCATTTATGCTTCTAATGATGATATACATCAGTCTTATAGCATACAATAGCGATGTTATGAATCAATACATTCTAAAAATCATTTTAGATGAAAAGAATATTAAAAATGTTACAGTCTCTAACAAAGAAACACTTGCAACAGTAAACATCTATCCTATACCGACAAACCGTTCGCTAGAAGTCAATTACGTCACATACAATCCTTTAGATCAGTATCAACAAAACCAAACTCAGGGTCTTGAAAAATTAAAACATCCCGAATACGCGCCTAGATTGAAATTACCCACAAGACATTGGTCGGCCATTTTGAGAAAATATAACGTTTCTTTAAGTGGGCAGATAATAGCGGTCCTGCCACAAATAAAGTTATCGCACGTAATCAGACCTGAGCAAGCAGTCTTGTTGAGGAATCCGAATGAAAAATATGGAGAAAAATTTCAATGGCAAGCCCTCGCCGTCGCTCTGGACCCTATTGAATTTACAGGTAAGTTACTTAAACTAAATTACCTTACCTTAGTAAATTCGTAAAGATGGAAAAAAAAGCAACACGTGTTATATATTTATTACTGACTATAAATTACTAGTACTATAACTTATTTAATACTTTTATTGTAGGAGAGATTTGAACATGTTACTTCATGACTCAACATTCCTTGACATACGACTACTGACGTATATATGACATCTATCAATATGAGAGATTTATTAGACATTTATTAGAAACGTTATTTTAGATGATCCTCCAGGTACAAATCTTCCTCAATCAGATCAACCTTTTTACCCCACATCACCCATGGAAATATTCCTAACGACTATTCTCTGCTTGATAAGCATAATTGTACTGGCATATGCATTTGTGGTGCTCTATCGATGTGTTTGTTCGCGAAATTATGCTGAATGGAGAGCTTCTTGGTTTAAAGAAAAGGTGGAATCTGAACAGGAAGATCAAGTTTTATTAGAAGCCATGCCTATTAGTTTGGAAGGCCATAATCAAGAAATAGAGTGCATAGCTACTGACGGAACAAATATTGTCAGTGCTTGTTTAGGTAAGAAAACAAAAGTTGTACCAATTTTCAAACATTGAATTTATTCAGCCATTGCTTGATAAAAATACTAATCATTTAAAATAACTTTATTTTATTTTATCTCAAAGGTGAAGTTAACAGTATTTTATCCTCAATTTCATACAAATAAACTTTATTTATGATGTAGGATGCAAAAATATTTCATATCCTAAAGGTTTATTGCATTTCGACTATTGATAATGTTGATATATATACAGGGTGTTTCTTTAATATTGCGAAAAAATTCAAAGGCGTGTCCCTTGGACGAAATGAAGCAAATAAGTTCCTATGAACATATGTCCTACGCCTCTTAGATTTTGAATTACAGGGTGGTAAAGTTATAAGAAAAAAACTTATTTTTTGCGATACCTTTAATACCCCTGTAGATATTTTTCTGAAAATTGGTACGCAGTTTCTATGCATCCAAAGCCATTTTCCGATACACAATTTAAACTCAAAAACGGATAAAGAAAACAAACTTTAAATTTTAAACTTAAGTTTTATTTCAGCCTGACGTGAAACGATTAGATTTTGGACAAAGTCAGAACATCTGGGGGTACTTTATGGGAGGCCGTTTTTATATTTTATAGAGTATGTCTCTTATTTATGTTTGGAGAAGAAAATTGTTCAAATAAAAGTTACTTCTAATATTATTATCTATGTCAAAATTTCCTGAAATGGTCCGTATTCGATAAATTTGACAAAATGTGCGAAATTCTGATTTTTATGAAAATTGTTAAACTAAAAGTTGTTTGCGATATCGATCTCTATAATTTTTGTTTATACATGATTTTTCTAAAATGGACCGTAATGGAAAAATTGGAGGAAGAGTACTAAATTTAAATTTTTCTGTATTTTCGTTTTCAGTGAATATCTATAGAAAAATGTTTCGAGGTAGATGTATGTGGAAAATGTATATATTTAGTTTATCCTCTAAATATTTAATAGAGGTGCTGCAATAGGTTATACAAAATAACCGGAAAAAGCCTATAATAACTAGATAGGAAAGTCATGTGTTGGACACATCAGATTTTTAACTATTGTCTTAGTACAGTCAAATTAGGTAACTTTGGACCAGGTTTTTATTATAAATCTGAATTTATTTGTTATTGTTGCACAATTTTATTGAATGATGCATCTACTAGTATTCCTATATGTGAATTTTAAATTAAAAAAATTAAAATTTATTGTAAATATAAGAAAAATTATATTTTTGGTTGTGGTCCAAAGTTATATTAAATTTAGGGTAACATTGACCAAATTATTTTCATCGAGAGAAATTACTGATTTCTTAGAATTTCTTACAAAATGAATGTTTGTTGTATTTATGTCTCGGTCTATTTTATCTTTTCCTCATTTACAAACCTCTTTTCAATCCCCACTAATAAATTTATAATTCTGTAATTGTTTACCATTTTTTTATATCTAGTCAATGGATATCTACACCTCCCTAATGAACTTCTATTTTACAATTTGTTGAGAAATCCTATGGATACCCTGTTCATAATTAAAATCCATATTTTTTGTTTTCTTTTTTTAGGTGGGCAACTAAAAGTATTTGACAACAATACAGCCGAGCTTATCTGTCAAATTGACCGAAAATCTTACTTTACCAAGCACAAGTCGATAGAGTTAACATCAGAATTAGAAGAAAATATCTCTGATTATGAATCGGGTTCACCGCCAACAAGAGATGATTGTTTTCCGAAACTTTTAAACAGGATCAATACCGATTTTTCACATAACACAGATGATGACGCCGATTCGGTTAATTATCGCGATGCCAAATATAATTTTAACAAATCGTTTCGACATTTCTATTTTAACCACAATTTTAACGTTAGGTTGCGTAATAAGCGAGAAGACGCTTCTAAAAGGCACAGCCTGAGCGAGAACATCAACAAACATCGCTCTTTTAATTCCGACGAAAGTGAGACCAGAACAATTCGAAAAGAAAATTTGACCTACCGTCCATCGGGCTCGAATGTGGAAGATGAGGCGGACAGTATAAAAGACTTTCAAAGTTTTACGGAGTGCAAGTTATCGCCCATTTGGTGTATGGATTATTTAGATAATTTGATAGTTATTGGATGTGCAGATGGACGATTAGAGTTTTGGGAAGCTTCTACTGGCAATCTGAAGGTAATAGTCATTTTGGAAAAAAAAATATCCTTCGTTATCGTTATAATTGATTTATCAGGAAAGGACACTTGTATTTTATGCAAAATTGTTTTATTTAAAAAATGCAAAGTGCTTTCAACATTACGCCATCTTCAGTGCTTAATGCCTGTCAAAGAGGCATACAACATTTATTGTTTGGATAAAGGATGACCTTTTATACTTTTTGAATGTCTTTTGACAGACAATAAGCACTGAAGATGGCGTAATCCCGAAAGCGCTTTGCATTTTTTTAAATAAACAATTTTGTACGAAATACAATTTTTTTTTTGCTGCACACAGTCGTTAACCTCTTTTGGTTCCTTTAATAATTGATTAATCTCACATCTCCTAACAACGCCATTTAACTAATTTTGAATCATAATCTGATCATTACCATTGCTAATCGACCTATAAATTTTTAAATTGTCAGCAAAAAGTGGAAACAAAGCTTACTTTCTGATAAATATTAACAAAGAGACAAAATAATATCGGTGTGACAACAAAAGGATCTGAAACGACTGAGTACTTCTAGTTAAGTAACTTTCTAACTATTTGTATAAGTTAACATTTATGCCAAAAGCAAACAACTTTTTTAGTAAAATGCTGAGGCTCTTATCAAAAGCTTTCGAGAAGTCCATGTAAATTGAATCAACCTGCATAGACCCCTCAAAAGAATTTGATAACAAAGGAGTAGATCTGAACGAAATACATTCAAGTTGTTCAGTTGCTAAAATTACTATGTTTATTTCGTCGTTTCGATCCTAATAGAAACTCAAGTGGTTTGGTAAATCCCCCCTTAAATCCCCGATATAAACAGTCTAGATTAAGGCTCAGATGGCTTGGGATCATTAATTCAATCCAACCTATTTTTTTAATTGGATTTAGGTAAGCCACTTCAAATTTACGAAATAAACGCCTAATCCATTTTCAATGCGGATCCAGCTTTTGGTGCCTAACTTCACTCACTCAATGTATAAGGTATTTTTTTTTTTAATAAAACTATATCAAAGGGAATTGCAGTCATTTCTGCCATATAGATACAAACTAAAAAAATGAGGTTTGAATTCGCTTGCACTAATCCTCCTCGAAAATACTATTGATTACATATTCCCTGATAGTTTTCAGCATTACTCTTAAACCAATTTTATATATTGGATAAATAAAACTATCAATAAGTTCGCCCCCTATACAGACTAAAAAGATCTATTCAAGGACTTGTTATGCTTAATCCGTGCACAATAATTATTTTCTTACAGAATATCTTTGAAGATGGTACAGAATCGGGTGTAAATCACTTGAAGATAATCGGTGCCAAAGTAATTGCCGTAAGACTGTGTGGTTCATTAGACCTACTTCAACTACAAACATATAATCAAGGTAGGCCGATCGATTGGAATTTTACAATTGCATATCGGAGGACGCATATGAGAACATCGTCAGCGGGATCTATTTCTGAACAAGATCTTAAAAACAAGGTAAACTCTATTACAATGCAGTAATTCGAATATTAATTACCGATATTTCAGACAAATTCCGAAGAAGATTTACGTTGCATCAAAATCCAAACTGTTAAAGCCCACCAACAACCAGTGACGTGCCTGGATTGCGAAGGAGGAAGGATATTAACGGGTAGTCAAGATCATACAATAAAAGTTTTTAGGCTAGACGACGGCAGCCCTCTCTACACCTTACACGGCCACTGCGGACCAATCACATGTATCTTTATTGACAGGGTAAACCCAGCCACGTCGGGAAGTGGTTCACAAGATGGGATGCTGTGCGTTTGGGATCTACTTACAGGTAAGAAAAAGCCATATAATACAAGTATTAAAAGTCATTTTAAAAAACCGACTTCAAAATCGTGCAGATATCATCACCACATCTTAACCAAATTTATAGGGGACCACCCCTGAGGTACCCCCTTACTAACAAAAAACAATCATAGAAATCGAACAAGGTAGTAAATAATTATCACTAAATATACATAAAAAATGAAGAGTTTGAGGATTTTCTCATAAATCCAATTATTAGATTTTGACCAAATTTATATGGGACCACCCCTGAAGTACCCCCTTTCTAACAAAAAAAATAATCATTAAAATCGGACACCGTGTTAAAGAATTATCATTGAACATACATAAAAAAAATATGAGGAATTGAGAACCTCCTTCTTTTTTGAAGTCGGTTAGAAATTAAAATTCCCTTAATGTAAGCAAATTTCCAACAGAGGTAGGTTTATAGGCATAGAAAATAAGATATACAATGTATGACCTGTTATGAAAAGCTGGCCATGTTTACAAATGTCAGAAGACGTGAAATGCATGACAAGACTTATTTCAAGTTCACTTTGTAATAAACTTGGCCGAGGGTTGATAATAAAGTCCCACAGATTAAATATCCACTCAGGATTATTTAAATAAATCAGGATTTACTTTAGAACAATGAATAATAAAAATGTCAACTGTCATATATAATTGTACAGTACCAACTTAAAATATTAAATATTAGTTAGGCATTTTATAGAGGTTCTAACAACTTATTAACGCCGCTCTTATTTTGACATCTGAGCATGTGAAGATTTATAATATGCGTAAACCTTTTATTTCAGGGGCTTGTATGTACAGTATTCAAGCACACGATGGCAGCATAACCTCGCTCACCTATTCTGCCAGTTACGTTATTTCACAGGGTTCAGACGATCGCCTCTGCGTTTGGGAGCGATTCCAAGGCCACTTGCTCAATACCATCAATGTATCACAAACTTTTTCAGGCCAAGTGTTGATGTTGGCCCAACATTTAGTGATTTCTGGTAGAAGTGGAGGCTTAATCATTTGGGACGTTCGAACTGGCGATTGTGTACGAACGATCACTTTAGGAAGAAGACCGTGCATTTTCATTAATAAACTCGTGTTATTGAGGGATGCAGTGTTGTGTGATTATGGAAAACAGTTAATGATTGTGAGATTTCCGCTTATGACACATAAATTTGACTAGCGTAAGTGATGACTGGGTTGAGCTTTTTTAGAAAATCAATTCTTTTTGATATTATTTACAATGAGTTTTAAAAGATGTTGAATTTGTTAGTGATGGGCCTTTTCAGGAAATGTAATTTTGGGGTATTTCTGATGTCGGTAGGGTTGCCAACAATGTTATTTTGATCCGGGGTCTTCGGGTTTGGCGATCATTCTCCGGGCTCCGGGTTTATATTAAAATTCTTCGTGGTTGCCGTGAAACTGAAATAAATGCAGCTCTAACTTTTTTGAAGGCGACGTTAGGCTATCCGACCAGCAGGTAGATGATTTCAAAAGTTAAGAGGCGTGTAAACAAAATATGTTTTCACTAGGTCAGAATCGTTGCAATATTGGCAACCCTAGATGACTGATGTCCATGACATGTCCGAACAAGTAGTGAAAAGTAGTCGATCTTGAAAAACTATATTATAACTGTATAAAGTAGTTTGGTCTGTCTTATACAAGCCGGTCTTTATATTTTGTTGGAGTCAGATAAGAAATTATTTTTTCTATAACAACTTTTTATTGAGTCTATTTAGTTTTATCTTTTTATTTTTCTGTTTTATGCCCAAATGTTTTTAAAATTTGTATATTAAATATTTAAAAAAAATTATTTTATTTGTAAAACGTTAAATGTGTTATTTTTTTTTAAACTGTTCAGTAATATATAAATTGAAAAAAAGGAGTTTTTGACACTTAAATAAAATAAAAATCAAACAAAAAATATGAAAAACTTTTTAAATAAAGTTCTTGTGTGGATATTAAATTTATTCTTTTCTCGCATATATCTCGAAACACCAATCAGAAACCTCTCAAAACATAAAAGTGAGTAGTCATTTGTTGTTTCTTCTTTTTATTAATTTTTTGCATGAGTACAATACTTCCACTTTTGAAAATTTTATTTGGACATGTCCACTTTTTAGACCCATCACTAGTATGTATTTTTTGTATGACAGAATGGAAAAATAATACCTAGATTTAATTAGACGCTTTTTTACAATATTTTCCTTTTTTATTCACAAACACATTCAATTATTCCAATGATGAATTAAAAAATTTGAGTCCTTGACTAAAGAAAATTGGCGATTTTCTTATTTTTCTAATTTATGTTATGTTTTTGGATTCAAAAGTTAAAGGGGAGAGAGGGGACTTTAGAGATGAGCACTGTATAATATATAATCAAAACATGTTTTGCAGAGACTAAAAATTATATTTTATTTGCTATTTAAATTTTTTAAAGTGCCGCTCACTGTCCTAAAAGGAACAATATACAAATTATGTGCTGAAATTAGGACTGAATGACGAGTAAAAAAGAACTCACTTTTGTGCAAAAAAAATGTATTTAATAGACATTTTTTTTAATATATTTTTACATTTGAATTTTCCGCACTATTTTTTAATAATAAGACTAGAAGAAATTTTAATTATCTGAAACGTTCTATTTTCTATTAAGTTATAAAAATTGTGTGAGTAACCTATACAGTGTGTACAAAAAGTAACGTGACATACTAATAATTCGGTTTTCATAAAAAAAGTGTAAAAGTTTTATGAAAAAAATATCAGTATAATTAGAAATATACCGAGTACATAATTACTCCAAAATAACATGAGGCTATATATTTTTAAATAGTACCTTTCTTTTAACCTATTATATATATCGAAATATTAGCAAGTTATCTTATTTTTTGTTCACGCTGTATACGGTTGACATTGTTAAATGTTTTCAGATGTATTTGTTTTTAATTTATTAAATACTATTAAGTGTTTCATTGAGAATGTATTAAAAGTTTAAAGTGTTACAAGCGATATATTTTTGTAATTATAAATAAATTTTTACTTTGCTTAACTATTATTATTCAAAAATTTCCCCCCTGATTTGTAGATTATTGATTATTTAAGTAGTATGTTATCATCAGATGATTCTAATACAGTTAGTTATGCTTTACATGTTAGATTAAAATTGAATTTTTTATGTTTAATGGGTTAGAACGAACCAGATACAATAATTGTAAAAAAATGCATTGATAAAATTTCAGTCATACATACTATTATATTTATCTCGCTTGGGATATGTGTGACGAAGACCACAGTTGACAGTAATTTTTCTCGAGAGCGTTGTGCTTTAAGTAAACAAAATATGCGATAAGATATAGGACTAAAATGAATATCTCAAAAAAAATATTTAATTTAGCTTTCTTGTGAAGAATTTATTGAATTTTTATGGTTGTATTCATCTGTTTAATTAGGGATGTTATTTTTACGGAATGCCAATCTTTGGTTTGAGTTTGGATCACTTAACTAATGCATTACAGAAAAAGGCGCTCTTAATGAGGATCGATTACTCTCACGGTTTTGCCGTGAAAATATTTAATTTTCCTTCTCAGCCTTTATTTTTAGTTCGATATGTGTGAAATTTTCAGAAAATATCGATAATAAGTTGGTAAACCAATAAACATTTTGCATAGGGGAACAAAAGGCCCTTCAATTGTAATGGTAGTCATTTCAATTTTATAATTAAAAGGTCGGCATATATAGAACACTACGCGCGACAGTCGATTAGCTAACAAATCCAGTTAATAGGCCCCCATTTTTCCTTTAATGTCTGGAAATAATTAATGGGAAGTTAGCTGGTAATTGCAAGTCTTTTATCATAATAATATTAACTGCTGAATAAAGACCAGGCACATGACCGTAGACACGCGATTCGATAGTATCTCTTTGACCAGTAGTACCGTTTGAACAATAAATTCTATAATAAAACAGCACAGCGATTCTTAAGTGCGAACTCGACTCGTTACGTGTTGAATAGAGAGAGACATTACATAAGAATTACAATCTGCCGAACGAAGAAGATAGGCGTCTCGGTATATCGATAATCTATCTAATACCCCGTATTTGCAAAATCCAAATTTTTATACATTATTGGCTTCGAACAATATTTACATGAGAAATTTGACTACTCTAATAACCCTTACTGCAATCATATATAACTAAAAAAGAGCTTCTCCTGTAAAAGGCCAATCCGTGCAATTACGGGCTATTAGAATTAGACCATCGATATGGCTGTGTTGAAAGATGAGAATCCCACTGCAGAATACGGCATTCCAAAATAAAATATTGTAAACACTTTATTTCATTCAGCTATATAATATAATAATAGAGAAAAAATGTCTTCTACAAAAGTATATATTCATAAAATATTCTAAATTAACAACAGTAAAAGTAATAAATTACAATGCATACTGAATACCAACAATCCGAGACATGTTCACCACAGAAATGTTCACTCGTTGAGTATACATAGCAAGCGATCATCGTTATCTCCAGGGGGGCTATTTTCAAACTCGAGAGAATTCATTTCTCTCAAGAGAAATGTCATACGTCAACGTAAAACCGTATTTTTAGGGCTCTTAGGGCCAGTGTGAACTCACTGACTGTTTCTCTCGGTTTATTTAGAGAGAATTAAAATCTTCCTAAGAATTTTAATCCTCGATGCCTTTAAAAACAACATTTCCACATTGACGTATGACATTTCTGATGAGAATCTTGAGAGAAATGAGTGCTCCCATACTTTGAAAATAGCCCCCCAGCTAAGAACGGAGGACGGAGCCCTCCTGGATTGTTGAGGTTGAGTCTGTCGCAGTTAATAAAAGCTTTTTGAATTTTAACATGCTAATACCTAATGCTGAGCCACTATTGAAAGGCCAAAAATAGGCTTTTAACTTTTAATCATCGCATTCATTTTCCTTTCAGTTACAGCAAAAGGCCAGCTATGTTCCGGCAATTCTTTGTTGGGAAATCTTCGGAAAGTATTAATTTTGATAGTTTTTAAAGAAAATTAAAAAAACCATTTACGAGCCATTCCACGCATTAAAATCTAAAAATTTGCAACATTTTGTTTTAATAAATATCTAATAGTTTTTTAAATGGGAGGGTTTCCCATCTTGTTTTTCTTTTTAAATGTCTCTGTAGAATACTGCCTTATCATTGCACAAATTTAATAAGTTCTCAGTATTCTCGAGACTCATAATATATCGCATATAAATACAATTTTATGGTACAAAATCCTCACAACATTTTTGCTTTTCCCGGGAAGTCCGATTTGCTCTTAAATTGGCCTATTTTGGTCTTAATACCTGTTTTTGTAGACTTTTACAGACCCTGTATATACTTTACTACCTGGATGGCTAAATACCAAAGTAGTGAAGCCCAACAAATTAAAATAAGAAGAAGAGCTTAAAACATAACCTTAGTTTTTCTTGTTTTTAATATTTTATATTTGAACTACTTTTTATTTTTAACGTGTTTATTTATGTTAAAAGCCTTAAAATGGATTATTAACACTTTAAAAAGTAAAAGTTTGATTATATACTAGACTGGAAGTGCCACTGTTGAGAACACGATATGAAATTTTAAATAAAGTCAAATATTTTAGTCTTTGAAAATGGTCCATATATCTTCGAAAATATTTGGAAAAATAAAACAAGCAACCAGAAAATATCTTCGACAAGGTTTTCGAGATAATTTACGTATTTATGTTCAAGGAGGTCCTGGTGGAAACGGCTACCCTAAGTAAAATCATGATTATTTATTATTATTTTTATATATTTGTTTAATTTTAGATTTGGTGGTGTAGGAGGCAAAGGTGGAGATGTAATTGGTATAGCTAAAGAGAATTTAACTTTAGAAGATGTTTACAAATCAAATAGGAGCAAAAGGTATATTGCAAAAGGTGGAAGACATTCAACACATAATTTTATATTGGGACCGCCTGGCGAGGACCTGAAATTTGAACTACCTGTTGGAGTTACACTAGTTACAGATGCAGGCAAAAATTTAGGTGAGAAATTATAGGCCATCTTCCTCACTGTCGAAGTAGAACACAGAAGCCTTCCCAATTAGTAAGGTTATATTAAATTCTTAAACATAGAAGTGTCAATTCAGAATGTCCCATACATTGTTGTGAATTTCAACATATTTTCCATTCCATTTATTAGTGATATGCAAGACAATTGGTCCAGCTGGAAGGTTCCAGGTTGTATTTTTTCTATTTTTTATTTTTCTGTCTTTTTCAATTTTTCATTGATTTGTTTTCACTTTGGGGATGTGGGGGTATATTGTTTATAATTTCGTAGGGGGAATTGTGGATTATACATTTTCATTATATCCAAAATTGCAATGAAATATTTTTCTGGAAAATAAGTATTTATGAAATTGATAGAAAAACTTGTAGAAAATGTGAATTTACCAAGATTAAAATAATTAAAAAACATTAAATTCTGCCCAAACCTATTAGACATTCATCATATTGACATTTTTGTTTTTAAATATTTACAAGAGGGTATATTTAATACCTTGACTGACGTCATGCTCCTAATATAGAAACATAAATAATATTTTGGGCCATATTTGGAATAAAACTTTTGGACCAACGTAGATCTGAGAAAAACATGGGCAAAAAGTTAGTTCTCCAGGCCACTAAAACATGCCCCATAAGCTTATATCATAACCAAAAAGCAGCCTTGTATCATGCACATTGATATTTTATTAAAGCATGAGATGCTATGGTATTTCTCATGGCCTGGGTATAATAAAAGTCTGTGAAGTACACATGGTTCTTGTGGCAATCAAGGTATTAAATATGCTATGTAAATTAATCTGTTAAAGCAGTAAGGACAAATTTGGCTTGCATTCATGCTAAAAGATTCTTTCATTCGTCCCACTGGTGTATGAATGAACTACACCAACAGACACTAAACCTTTTGTTTGGCCAGGTGTAAAACACACTATACCTTCCTGTTGGCGATCTGGTGTCCACTGGTGCATATTATCTATTATCTCCACCATCTGTTTAGCAGAACTGAATTACACTGTATATAAGGAATCAGGAGGAAGTAAACTAGGGTAAATAAGGTGGTGTAACTGGTGTAATCTACACTGGTGGACACTGCACCAACAGCAAATGAAAGAACCTAATGTATGTGCTTTTAGGTTATAGTTTCAAACTGTCTCATATAAGAAGTATCAAATATCAAAATCTCAAAACCTGAAATAATTCGTTGTTTCCAAACTTTTCTTATTTCTCCTACTATGTGAATTCTTTATTTCTAGGGGATTTAAATAATCCAGATGATCAACTGGTATTGGCTAAAGGTGGTACAGGAGGTCATAGTAAAAATGGTTACTTAGGAACTAAAGGCCAAGCTTATCCAGTAACACTTGATTTGAAGCTAATAGCTGATATTGGCTTAGTTGGTTTCCCAAATGCAGGCAAAAGTACAATTTTAAAAGGCATTTCACATGCTAAACCAAAAATTGCCAACTACCCTTGTAAGTACCTAAATTCTAATTTTAGTTTGTAATAGTTTTGTGTTGTGCAAACCATAACATATATAATTTAAAAAAAAATTAAATGGCTAACTCAATAATATTTTTAGTTACAACTGTAAAACCAAATATTGGTATTCTATTGTATGATGATAATAGACAGATTTCAATGGCAGATCTTCCAGGCCTTATAGAAGGAGCTCATGCTAATAAAGGCATGGGCCATAAGTTTTTAAAACATGTTGAAAGAACCAAACTTATGCTTATGGTTGCAGATATAAACGGTTTTCAGTTAGGACCACAGTATCCACACAGAAGTTGTTTAGAGAATATTATGCTTTTAATTAAGGTATGTAACTATATGGGAAGAGTTTCCTAAAAACTCATTGATCTAACTTCACTCTATTGAGGTGAGATATGATATGAAAATGTGTAGTTTTCTGTATTTGCTATCAAGTCATATTTTGATTTAAAAATATTTCAGGAACTAGAAATGTATAATAAAGATTTACTGTCAAAACCCGCCATGTTGGTAATCAATAAAATGGACACCGATGGAGCTTTGGCTAAATTTAATGAAATAGAATCTCAATTAAAAAATTTGGGAGGTATATTTTTGTAAAATTTACAATTTTTACGATTCGATTGAAATAACGTATTTTTTAGGATATTTTTCGAATTATCCTGAAGAACAAAGACCAGAAGGCAAACTGAAATTTTACGAAATCATTCCTATATCGGCCAAAGAGAATCCAGAGAGTGTAAAATTGTTAAAAGAAAGGTTAAGAAAAATAATTGATGTGATAGCAGATGAGAAAGAGAAAGAAAGTCAAACTGATGTATTAGAAGAAGTAAAAAGTTCTTTAAAAGAAAGAGGACCTGTTTTGATTTAAATATATTTATTAAACTAAAAAAATATTGTTTTAATTATATGACTTACCAAAATGGTCTAGTAAGACCTCGGCGACTTTATTCGCCTTCAGGACTCTGACGACCCAGACAACACACCAAATGAGCGTTTTCAGACCTAACGACACGACACCGGCACGACAGCAACATCGACACGATATCGACTATTGATCTTTCACACAAAAAAATTTATTCAACAATACAGTCCCGAGATATCGCCGGATTTTTTTTATGGTGGTTGATAAAAAAGAATAAACATGCCTAAATAATAACATTCTATAAAGAAAAATAATAATGCCAGCGTTACATTGCATTAATATATTTTTGCACGCGCGGGATAGCCAGTGCTTCTAATTTTTAAACAGTGTTGTCAGTTCGTGAGCCGAAATATTATTACAAAACATTGTGTGCCGAAATGGGTTTAATGAAGTATAATCACTTGCATATGCCACACATTTTGATTTACCATTTTTAATTGTATTAAGTTTTGACTTAATACCTAGACAGCACACCAAATCTTTTGGATATCTACTGAACATCCCAATATCCACAGAATGTCCAGTCCATGGTAGATATCTATTTTATATCCATGAGATGTAATTTATAGACATGCAAATGTCCATAAATAATAGTAATTATATAGCAAATTATTAAAAAATTACGCCATTGTGGCTAATAGTACCGTTCAGATATTTAAAATTAATTTTTTTAAGGTGTATTCAATATCCCATGGACAGCCACTAAATATATCAAAGTCTAGGCGCGAATGCAAACCATCGTGGATATCCACTAGATGTTATTTGATTCTGCTTACTAAGTATAGATGGCGATACCACTATCGCATCTACTCATGCTCAACCCGTCGTAATTGAGTTCGATCGAAATTTGTTTCACAATCATACTCCATTAGAGACTGGAGTCGAGAATTTCCATTTATTGCTGAAGAGTTCTAATAAGGATGACAAAGGCAGAGTGTTGAAAATATTTTTTATCTCTGCTATTTCCTTTCGACGTTATTCAATAATCATTGGTTACTTATGAACCTCTACTAAAGATACCCATAAAATATTTTGATGAATATCTTCTATATCCTGGGATATAGACGGACATTTGGTTGGATATCCATATTGGATATATTGAATATCCACAAAATATATTCTGTGGATATCTTGTATTTTCTGGAAGATACCCATTAGATATTTTGCTGAATATCCATTAGGATATCTTCTATATTTTGGATATAGACGGACATTTGGATATCCATATTAGATCCACGGAATATTTCTGATATCCTGTGGATATATTGGATATCCACAAAAGATATTCTGTGGATATCTCTGGGATTTGGTGTGTTGTCTGGGAAATTACTCATTTAACTATCCCGAGAACTATCCTTATGTGCTATATTAATAAAATTTGCAATAAAAAAGCAAATAACAAGAGATAAGTACCGTTTGGCGATGTTGTCAATTATAAAAAATCTGTAAGCTGGCTTACGAGCTAGGAGGTACCTATCTACTTAGAAGGATTCACAATGGACCTAGTAAGGACTAGGTACCGTGGGTTAACCCCCACCCTAAACGCGTTACAGATATAGAATCCTTTTAGGCACCATTTTTCGACGATATTTATTTAGTGCCAAATTTACCATTTACTCTTCGAGCGAAGCATTTACTACGATGCTTATCTTGTCTCTAAATCCTTGTGTATATAGTTTTTCTTTCTCTAACTTCCATAAGAGATCATCATTGTTCTCTGTGTCGTATAATAAATATACGTATATATCTCGTTAACCGTTAATTAATGAAACTAATATTGCTTGTTTTCGTTTTATTGAAATTAAATACCTACAATTTTTGTACAATCTCTTATTTATTTAAAAGATTATAGTGGAATATTTACTAACGCTTATAATTCTTAATCAATTATTAATTTTAATTAAACGTATTAATAGATTGTTAAAATTGATAAAAGCAATAAGTTTTAGTAAATAATAATTGATGTGCACTTAAATTATATTAAAGACGAGGAGTAATACTTGTATTTCGTTAAATTACATTTAATTCTAATACCTACAAGGATAATAAAAAAAATATATTTCTTGAGTTTTGTGAACCATGTGAAATAAAAAATTAAACATTTCAACGACCTGTCAAAATTGCTGCCCGTGACCTTTGACAGGGTTAATGTTATTTATAGTTATATAGATTTTTAGCCTTTGAATATATTAAAAAAATAATTACCTACAATTCTACTTATGTTTATTTTGAAAAACTTGATCAATCTATATATCTATATCACTGACCATATCAAATCGACCAGGCCCACAGTGTTGCCATGTCAATGCCCACAGCCAACCATTTTGTTTCTGAATGCCTAATTGAATAGAAATATGCACATACTTTGATTTTATTTTACTATACGGAAAATGGTCGCACTGCGCAGCTTTCTGAGTGCAACTCCACCATTTTGAACCCTTATTACGTGTTGCCTACATCTTGGCGCAATATTTTTAATAGGTGCGTTTTAATCATCCGCTTCTGCTTCGAAATTGTCGGTTTTCTTGTTTTAATCTGACAGGTTAGAACGACCGAACCGACAATTCCGGAAGCAGAAGCGGATGATTAAAACGCACCTGATATTTTGCTTGCTGCTGTCAGTGTCAGTGAATATTATTTTTGGAGTCACAGTTTATTGCTAAAGAATCAGTTAGCTCACTCGGACCAGTTAAAAGTTCCAAAATAACATCCACTCCAGGGATACAAATTCAGGATACGCAGAAGACTGCTGTTTTATTATAGGCGGTTGTCATATATTGTATTATCTGAGTTGCGCAGTGTAGAAACTGGAATATTGAGATAAAAAGTGCCGACGTAGAGTGAGCGATCTGATTCTTTAGCTATAAACTGTGTCATAGGGTTCAAAATGGCCGCGCCCTATGTTGGGCGTGTCGGACTTTTCTCTTTCCCCGTATAGTAATCAAAGTATGTGGAAATATGTAATTAGTGACTTTTGAAAACTTAATTGTCAATTCTGCAAATACATCAGTGGCATTGTTTTGGGGTTACTGCTGAAGTTATAAATTTTATGTTTAACCAATTTAGTCACCATACAAAAATATAATTGTGCCCCTTTAAAAATATTATCTTGTCATTCAAATACTTTAAAGTTACAGATTTCAGTTTCTTTATATTTCCTTACCAATAGTTTAATCCTCGCCGTAACAAAAGTGGGTCAACGATGACCCGAAATCTATTTTTCAGGAATATCTCGCGGCTCCGTGGCCTTTTTCCAGATATATTCTGTGAATTCTCCTAAGATTCGTAGTCAGAAACATAATGAGAGTCTACAAGAATTCGAGGCTGATATAAGAAGGCTGAGTCATCTGGCCTATCCACAGGCGCCGAAAGATTTCCAAGAACAACTCGGAATACAAGCATTCATTGATGGACTACAAGATGTGGAAATGCAGCAAGTCCTTCGTCTACAACATCACAAGACGCTGAGGGAGAAACTGATTGCAGCTCAAGAATAAGAAGCGGTAAAATTCCTATCCAGATTTTCTCGCGCAAAAGCGAGGGAAATTAAATCCTCAGGAAAGTGAGGAAGCCAATAGTAATGCTATTCCCCAAATCTTAAATATCCTACGAAATATGCAACGCAACAGCCAAAATGGAAGCAGGAGATGCTTCAATTGCGGAAGAATCGGACACCTTCAAAGAACCCGTAGAAGCATGGCTCATTCTATAAATCGAGAATCAGCGAATGAGACCGGAAAATCATATAAGACCAACAAGAATTAATTACAGCAGCTATGCGTCTTGAAGAAGCCAATCACCCATACCGAGCCGGCTTTCTAACAATAATCAGAAAGTAGAGCATCAAGTAGGTCTCCATAGCAACGCAGACATTCTCTTCGGGCAACCCCGTTTAGAGGAACAATGCTGGTATGGTAAAAGGCTCTAATAACGAGAAGAACTGGTTGATAAAGTTACTCTTCGGGCCACCACTATCAAGCCAGAGGGCGACGAAGAAGAAAGCACCCTTGAAAGTCTGAGACAGGGACAGAAGAAAGACAATGACTTAAAGGTTGCCCGAGAATGGCTCAAAAATAAAGTCACACCTACTTGGCAAGAGATAGCCAAATAAAGTAAAACTATAAAAGGCTACTGGACCCAGTGGGATTTCCTGTATCTTCACGATGGCCTATTGCACCGGAAGTGGGACAACCCCGATGGAGTACATTTAGTCCGACAAGTGATACTGCCGAGGTCACAGGTAAGAAAAGTATTGGTGGAGCTTTATAGCAGCCGTTCAGGAGGACACTTTGATACTAAAAGGACACTGGCACGAGTTCGGGAAAGATTTTATTGGGTCAATTGCCGACGGGATGTAGCGGATTGGTGTAAAAAATGTGATGTATGCAGTGGCAGGACAAAGATATATGGATTCGCTCGGGTACGACTGAAAGCACAACTTGTTTCAACTTTTTTATTGTTTCTTATTGATTGTTGATCTGTTTAAGATTTATTTTTTTATTTAAATAATTAATAAACAAGAAATACATTTTTTAACCCCTAGAATGTATTTAAAATTGTAATTGTCTCTTCTCCCATTAGGTACATGTGTAATTACATTAATAAAAATAATCTGTAAAATTAACATTTTTATAAATTTTATAAAGGAATAACAGAAATATTTTTGTTGTCATAATAGTACTTTAGGTACATTAACAAAGCACAGATTCGTAATACAGAAAGACATATTTATTCAATAAATCATTTTAATGGTAACAAAATAATTTGTCAATGAAAGCCCCGCTCAAATTTTATCATAATAGATAAAAATCAATATTACATAGTAACAAAAAAAAAATTAAATTTTTTGGTATACAATTTTTGTTAATAGATATTTTCTGTCTCCTCACAGTATTTGAGTATTACAATAAAAATTAATATCGAATAATCTAATATTTTTCAAGTATTTTATTAAAAAATAAACT